TGTCTAGTATTCTCACCACCTGTGGCTGATACCTTGCCCTTCGGTCATATAATTAAGTTCCATAGAACGCCACCATTAGGATAGATTATATTATTATTATTTTTTTAAATAATTATTTTTAATTAAAAATTTTATATTATATATTAATTTTATGATTTTATATAATTTTTTTTAATAAATAATATAAAATTAATATATTTTTTAAAATATGACATTAGAAAAAAAAAATGCAATAGTTAGAGAATATTACTAATTAATATAAAATTATTACTAATTAAAATTATTTATTAATTCTAAAAGATTTATATTTAATTTTTTTAAAAAATTTTTCCAAAAAATTTTGGATACTACTGCCAAGTACAACCAAATTCACAAAGATCAAATTTGATTAAAAACAAGTTAACAAAAATCCCACGCTTGCTTTCAATTAAATAAATATGATTTTCAAATATAGAAAAAGAAAAAAGTCAATAATATCAATTAAAATATATATATTGAAAAGTCAGACCAAAACAAAATTGGAGAAACTTTGTCTTAACAATACAAACACATCCAAACTTCAGTACATTGAGATAGAAGACCATGATATATAGATAATTCAAGACAATATAGAGTCAAAAGAATATTGAAAATAGTTATACTTGGAATATAGATTCAATATGAACAAGAATAAAGAGAATACTTATCAATTCTAAATAGATAGAGTTATAAACAAAATATCAGATTAGTCTATAAAGATGGAAGTAGCATAGCTCAAAATAGAAGAACTGAATTTAGAAAGAATATTTCAAGCAAAAGTTAGTAGCTGATCCTCTTTAACAAAAGCAAAACTAGTGGAAATTTTTTTAGCAGTAATAACTATAGAAGTATTAAAATCAAAATAAATAATACCAACTGTATTAATACTTTCACAAAGCTAAACAAACTTTACCCCCAAAAAATACTAAAAAAACAAATGAAAATTTCAAACTGGTAGCTATAATTAAACCTAATAAATATAATTATAAGAAAAAAAATCCAACTAAAACTTACCAAAGTCAAAGTCTATAGTAAAGACAGACTAAACAACTGAGCAGACTAATTAATCAAAGTAGTAAAAGAAGAATTAGAAATTAAATCGAAACTACTGTTAACAACAATTTCAATTACAGTACTAGAATAAAACAAGATTCCTATAAATATTTCAATTGGAGAGTTTATCAAAGATGCCAATAAGAGAGTGATTCTAATACAATAGACATCTTTTAATAGAATACAACAATAATAGAAAAACAAGATAGCAAACTATAATAAAATTGATTGAAAAGGTTTCTAATAATATAACAATAATAAAGGATTATTAACTATCTCCTTTAAACAGATGAAAGAAAATATATTTAAGATTAAGCTTATCTACAATAAACTGTCAACCTTGAATAATTTAGTCAAACAGAATATCTAAGAACTATTAGCAAATACCAAATATATCTTTTGTCTAAAAAATAAAGAGATAATAAATTACCTAATAACTTGTAACAAATTTCAAAAAGAGAAAGATAGAATATGGAAAACCATTTTTAACAAGTTTTATATATCTTGAATTATAAAGCATATTAACAAAGACAAGAAAAAAACCAAATAGAACTTAATATCAATTTATAGAAAAAAAGAAAAGTGGAAAATCAAAAAATTATTCTTAGCAAAAGAAATAATAAATATCAATATAAAATTATAAATGAAAGAAGAAACATTAAAATAGATTTATATATGCTATACACTTAATATATATAAAGTAATAGCTTAAAAATCTTAAATAAAATATTACAAGACTAAAGTGAAGAGTTTTGTTAACAAATTTGAAACACAAAATATAAAAAAATTCATAATTACAAAAAAGCACATAATAAAGGAAAAAAAAAAGAGACAGGTTTCAACTCAAAGATATCAAAAAAAGCCTCTAAGTTTAAGAATAAGTACAAATCTCAGGAAAAAAAAAATAAACAATAATAATATTAACAAATACAAACTTAATAATTGAAGATATCAAGATCTCAAAAATCTTTATATAAACCTTATGGAATAAACTAAAGAAGGAAATTAAATAGTTAAGAATATAATATAATTAAGATCTTGCTAAGGTGAACTGTAATAATAAACTGTATGCAATAAATTTAAATTCTTTTAGAAATGGAGAAAATGAGTAAACAATTTTATTCATCTTCAAGATCATACTTAGAGATTGATAATCAGAAATGGATATTCAAGTATTAGCATAAAATTTTTGTACTTGTATGTTTTCAACTTCTATAATTAAATAAACACAATAAATATTTGTTTGATTACAAAAAAAAAATAATAATAATAAATAAAGTCTGCTAAGCTAGTTAAAAATAATAATAATAATAAAATAAATAAAACCATTTAAGATATTCCCGAGGGTTGATACTTTAGACTTTTGATAATTAATAGATATTTTTTATTGACATACTGTATGTTTTATAATTTTCCAATGTAAAATACAAATCACGTGATAGAAATCGTGAAATTATACATCTATATTACACAAAAAATAATACGTTTCTCTAACCAACGAAATGTAACGAAATGATGTCACACAAGATGTAATCTGCAATCTTTAAATAAACACGATGCACATGAACTTTACGTGTATTTATCGAGTTGTTAAGTATTCATGGTATTATTTTTGCATACACAATATCCTACGACCATATGGCCATAATCGTGTGGGTTACCCACTAGTACAGTTTCATATGGTTGATGCTTGGGGAAAGACTGTCATATACGCCCACTATCCCTTGTGCCGGTCTCTTTCCAGTATATTGGATTTAATAGGTTGACTACGACCATATGGTCATATTCGTGTGGATTACCACTAGTACAGTCCCATATGGTCGATGCTTGGGGAGAGATTGTCATATACGCCCACTATCCTTAGTGCCCTAGTGTGCCGATCTTTTTCCAGAGACCTATTTTATCAATGTAACCATATACACTTGCGCTGATATTATTAAATATTGTTATTATTATTACTAATATAATTGATTATTTTTTCCAGGATAATGGAAATATTAGGAATCTCCCTTTTTTTCGAACAAATTCCATTTAAGAATTGGTCTCCCTTCAAATGTCTAGAATATTTGGAACGTAAATCCATAGATCTGAGAACATCTGACAAAGAATTGTTACAAAATGAATTCAAGAGTCATGACCATTCATTAATTAATCACCAAACAGTGTCGAAAAGTGCACAAAAAAAAGCTAATAAACTTTACAATGAGATGAGTCAGTTGTTTGAATCTGAAGAAGTTACGACAATTTTTAAAAGAATGGATACGAAAGTAAATTGCTTCTATTAGTGATTATATTTTTTATTCGGTATATCCATGTAACATAAAGCTGTTGATTTTACAGGTGATTGAAGAAAGTAAAAGGCAGTTATTAGCCGTAAAAAAATCACAGTTCGATACGGAAGTTCAGCTCACTGTCGAAGATTACAAAATATATACTGCACCATCTTCGGTAATAACTGATTCATTGATGCATTAGATAAGATATTATCCATAAATTTGATTTTCAACAATTTACAGAAATTACATGCTATAGGAATAGAAACCTCGGGTGAAACTTCCAAACGGAAACGTGAAATAGAATATGATCAAATGGTAATGGTAAGTACACGTATTCTTCTTCTTGTAAATGTACAATATATTTGATAATATTTATCTCTATAGGACCCAAATGAAAAACCACTACAAGATCTGTTTGATGCCGAGTTTCAATGTCCCGAGAATATGAAGCTAATCTTTCAATACCATAATAAATTCTACGTAAAAGATCTGATTGACTTGAGGTCCAATTCTAACTTTACAAAAAGACTTCCTTCAAACCTTCTGAAACCATATCTTAAAGAGCTAGATGACAGGATTGAAGATTTGATTCCGTCAAACGTTCATAACTTCTTAACGGAGTCTTTTAAACAAAACTTATCGGATAGTGATTGGATTATTAAGATCGATGATCTACGATGTTCAGACAAAGATGATTCTTTAATGGTTTCAACGGTGCGAATTTTGCGCAAGACATTGTCAACTTTGTAAGTACGAACATTTTTTTACTCTGCAAATAAGAGTTTTTTAGTTACAGCATCTGCTTAATGTTTTATAGTATTATGGCATTTTCGCTGGGACCAAGAAACCCACTTTTAAACTTGGCTACATTAGAGAAACCTCACTTAAATAATTTTTACATCCCTGCCTTCAGGCCTGCTTATGGTACATTTCATCAATATGCTACGAGTTTGGGGAGATTAGCACAAGAAATCACAAGCGCGAATGCGCCGACAGAGTCGGGTACTTAAACACTGCCGATAAATTTCAATTAGTGTACATGGAAGGTTCAAAAATAGACGCTGATGATGATAAAGAGATTGCGGATGCATCAAAAATCTCAAAAAATCTTCAAAAAATTTTTTTAAACATCGTTAAGGAAAACGTAAAATGCAGAAGGCGACTACCCAAATCTCTTGCCATCTTTGATGGTCAAAGTTTTCGACTTCAAATACATTTGAATTTTCTAGATTACTGTGGTATGTCATTTATAATAATTTACGTTATGAGCATATATTCTTTACTCATTCTAAATGATAATTCTAATTTTAGGAGGAAAATTCCGTCTTAATGAAGTAGATAATGCCAATCTTTCACGTGACTTTACTAAGATGGCGGATTTTGTATTTTTTTACGAATGCATGATAAAGTGGGCTGTAAGTATTCTTGTTATTTACAATAAAGGACTCGCATTAATAATACTTATAGAAATTACAATTTAGTGGCTGGCTCGGAAAGTCAAGGAAGGCTTTGAAGAATCAAGAGCTCAAAAAAGGCCGTCAAGACTCTTTCATTAATGACTTGAATGTAACAAATGATCTATAGAAGATGCTTCACCTATTCACCTTAATAATTGAAATTTATTGAACTATAACCATAGTGAATAATAAAACGAAATTTATATATTACAGTTAAACAATTCTTTTATGTAAAACCAAAAATATATACTCCCACATATGAATAATCTCATCTTCGCATATGTATAAAAGGAAATCGCGAAATCATTAAAGCATTTAAAGTTTTAAGTTTACTCAATACTCCTCCCAAAAAAAGAGCGCAACACCTAATCGGCGATCTTTAATTGCTAAGTAGGATAAATCAAATTATGATGAAATTTATAATATAGATAGAATATAAGATTGCTTAAATAATGTATAAATTAAAATAGATATTAAATTAATGAAAAAAAATTTATGATGAATTTTTAAAAATTTATTGTTGCATTACTTTTGGAGTTTTTAAAAAAAAATAATAAATTTTATTTGTTTTTTTTTCTTTGATCACAAACAGGTATTAAATGCAAGACTTTATTTAGACAATATGAGTTTATTATTATATTAACAATCTTTGTAAAAATAACAAATTAATTCTAGCCTATTGTAACCAAACTAACTATAAAAATTTTCATCAAGTAGGTGGATTTACATATAATGGTATCCAAAATTCATCAATTATTAAGAGTTATATTATAGAATTAATTAGTTTGATAATTAGAATTTTGATAGCTATAAGGGGTATGCATCTGATTTCCTTAATCACAATTCTCCTTGCATTTGGATATGCAGATAGGCTGTACTCCATTCTAATAAAAACCCAATTATAATTTTGTTTCCTATATAATAATTGAATTCTAGCCTGGGCTATCCCAATCTGGTGCAGAGCTTAAATGATTAACTAGCCACAAGTGATAAGAAGTATTAGAGCATGCCTCGCTATGGATATGCAACAGTATAAGATTCAGGTGACAAAATAATAGAAATACTTGAACCAATTTTCTAAAAACATGATTTTCTTGTTCAAAGACAAACCAAAACAGATTAGGTGGTTTAAACTGGTTAGCAAGATTTCTATCCTCTGTTAGTTTGCCTCTAGATAAATCGAGAACAAGTTATCAAGCAACAGGTGTCTGGTTACCTGGAAGAAAGTGCTTGCTTGAATAATCTGCATAGAATAGCTTTAGTTACTGTCTTATACAAGTTCTTTAAAATAATTTCTGCAAAAAAGAATTTGCTTAATTGCAAGATTTACACTTAAAAAAAAAAAAGAATTTTGATAGCTATAAGGTCTCTATTATTTTGAAATTTGATAATATATTTTTAATTTTAATAAATTTGTTTATTTTTGTTTATAATAGATTGATATTATTGTTTAATAAAATTGTAATATTAATATAATTGTAATTTCAATATTAAATTAATAAAAAAGTTTGCATGTAATACACTTTGCCTAAAAAAAAAAAAGAATTGTGACATTAATATCATAATCTAATTAAGCTAATATAATTCAATATAATATTTGTCAACTAATAAAACTGTTCTAATCTTTTTATAAGGATATAGTATTTAAGAAATTATAAATTTTTTAAAATATTTTTTTTAATGAATCAAATAATTAATTTATCTAAAAAATAAATTCCAAAATATTTAATACTGTTGTTATAATTGTTATAATATTTGAAGAAAATTTATTTATTCTTAATAAGTAAATACTGATTTTTTCTAGAGTTTTTGATGTTAAGATTGGTTATAAAATTTATTTTTTTTATTGCATTTGATAGAATTGAGAAAAGGAAAATAGCAAAAGTTATTTGTTATTATTTGAAGAAATGTTATATTGTAACTTAAGAGAACTATATTATTTATTTTAACAAAATTTTTGAATTTAATAAATGTTTTTTGAAAATTTTTATAATAATAAAATTATAAAAAATTGTCTATTGTCATATATCATTTCTACTTTAGAAGAAAGATAAAAACAAAGAACTAATAGTAAGGAGGCACTTTATATAAACAATGCCAATGTAGTATGTTAAAGTTCCTAAAGATATACAAATTGGTACAGTTCTGAGGTGTATAAGATTAGGTGAAAAAGATAATAATAATTTATTTTTAAAGGTCAAGATATTTATTCAATAAAATATAAGTTCAAGCCTATCAATTTCTAGATAAAATTGAAACCTTTATATACATATATGTTTGAGTTATGTTACTTTCATACATAATAAATATATGCTATAGTAAAAATAAAAACTAAGATATAGATACTATTTTTGTTAAAATATTCAACTGTATTAGCATTCATATAACGAATACTTTGGTGAAGATAATATAAAAAATAAAGATAAAATAAATAGAAATATTCTAGAAATGGTAAAGATGCAATAGATACAACAGATATCGAAGATACAGTAACAGATCTGTAATACAAGAATATTCTAAAACAGCTAATATTTAAAAAGTAAATGCTAATAAAAATCAGACAAGATGTAATGAAGAACTTGGGCAAAAATCCAGTGTAATACTATAGAAGTGAATAAGCTATAATTTAAGTTTTCTGTTATAAAATAAATTTAATAATATTGTAATGAATTTTAATAAAAGTTTGATATACTCAAGAACTTTTTAAAAACTAGAAAAATTTATTAAGTTAAATATTTTAAAAATATCAAAAGAAGCAATTTAAATTTCTTTGTTTCTGTTATTAGCTAAAGGTAATAATAGAAATATGTTTTGAAATACTTTGATTTTTTAAGTTTATAAAGTTAAATTTAAAAAGAATACTATAGTCTATAATAATTTATAATAGTTTGTTATTTGTAATCTTTATAAAAATTTTCCTATTGGTTTCAATTAAAGAGATTAAAAATATATCTGTGAGATTATATAACCAAATAATTTTTTATAAGTAATAAGTTATAACAGATTGTTTTCAGAATTTGAAATTAAATTTGAAATTAGTACTATATTAAATAAGATTTTAATATTTTTTAGCAAAAATATCCAAAAGAAATTAGGCTTTATAAGGAATAAGAGTAAGTTTAGGAGCTTTGCATTTAAATAAATCAAGTAATATATTGTTGATTTTTTGTAAATTAATTTCTGATATTAATTTATCAAAGATATTTTTGAAATATAGTTACTAGAAAGGTATTCATTGGCTTAGTAAATGTTAAGATTAAAAAGATTGGATTTTAATATTTTTCTAAGTAATTGAAAATTATTTCAATAAGTTTGAAGGAATTTTTATAAAGATAATTGTCTTTTTTTTAATATACGGTGGTACCCAAAATTATTTGGAATTTTTCTCAATATGTACAACTCAGTAAAAATTTATCTAAATCAAATACAAATTT